CGGTCTGTACTCTAAATTTTCTTCGCTCGGATTTATGGTCCGATTAAAAAACCCGAAGCGCACGAGCGATAAATCCGAGCGGAGAAAACGAGGCTCCTTACAGTACGGAAAAAAAAAAAAGAAAAGAAAAAAAGAAAAGAAAAAAAATTACATTACGGACAGAGAAAACGAGGTTGGTACGATATTCATTATATCTCTATTATGTGTCTGAGGATTCCGGAGACGATTTCTATTTACGCGAATGGCTTTAAATCGGACTGAAACACATCGAAAATAACTGAAACGAGTCAATCGAATCAGTTAACACGTCTTAAACACAATTTAAAGATAACGAAAGTTTTATTTTTTCTTGCATGAAAGTTCAAAAGAATTGGCGAGACATTTTGGCAACAAACGCACCTTTAAATTTTTAGCGGGCTCTACAGAAGAATACAGCACGCGTAAAAACTGAGAGATGTATAAAAGGCCATTTTACAATTGTGTGCTTAGTTACCTGGCCAATGAATGCAAGCGAGGCTGGAGCTGACTTTGTTTTGATACAGACCTCTCTGCGTTTCTCATTTAAATGCCAACTAGTTAGCATAAAAACAACTCGATGTACACAACAAAAGCAGTGAGGTCTTTATCAATACAAGGTCACCTTCATCCTCGCTGCCATTCAAAGGCCAGGTCACTGAGCAAACAACTGTAAAAATGGTCTATTTAGCCAGTCAGCAAGTTTCCTCCTTAGGTTTTGGTATTTCTGGGTGAGTGGCCATGGATAATGTGTTTACATCCCTGGCGCAACCCAATTCAGACCACGTGATGATACATTTGGGGATATCCTGAGAGGTTACAATTGTACAATTTATCACACGCAACTGATTGCATGGGAGTATTACAAAACAGAACAAATGTAACCTCCCAAATAAATCATCACGTGACCTGAATTGGCTGGCTACAAGGTTGTTCACACGTTAGCCACATCCCTCTATTTCCAGCAAGAAATCGCAAGATGAACAGACTTTTTAAGGAAAAGATT